CAGAGAGCCTGTGTCGCCTGCAGTGAAGCCCTTGTGCAGCCGGGGACTGGACACTTGTGCTGCTTGGGCCTCCAGGGCTGTCACTCAGAGCTAGGACTGAGACCATGGTCTGAAATGGTGCTGTTTACCGGATGGCTCGTGGCCCCAACCCTCTTGTGAGCTGTGAGGGCCAGACCAGGGCTGCCTTGTTTTCTGCCAAAACCCCAGTGCCAAGGCAACAAGCATGATCAACGAGTCAGTCCTACACGAATGACTGCACCAACATCTTTAGGCTAAAACTTGGTCCAGGGCCCTCTCTGATATCACCAAACTGTCTCGCCATGGATTTGTAGAACAAAGTTGGAGACGCTTCCCGAGTTAGTGCTCTGAGAGAGTAAGCAGTCTATCCAGGTGATTATGCCCCTGGTGGAGGACCAAATGCAAGAAAAAAGAAAAATGCAAGAGAAAAGAAATTCCATGAGCCACATTTTGGATACAAAAGAAGCAAAACACAAGCCAACCTGAGCCAGGCATGCGCCGGACTCAGGAGAGGCAGGGAAGCAGAGCTGGTCTGGCCAGTGGCACAAGTCTTCTGAGGCTTTCTCTGGTTTTTCCAGTCAGCTGAGGGCTCTGCTTCCAGTTCCAGAGATGGGCCTTCCAAGAAGAGAAACCAGCACATCAGAACCTCGGCCCTTAGATCTCGGACTGGCCTATGAGTCAGGAGACCAGCGATTTCCAGCTCAGCCTCTGTATCACGCCCTTAGGCAGCAGCTCTATAAAAACAAGGAACGCAACCGGGTGCCACATCAATGCCAGGCCTTGGGAAACACCCCGACAGCCGGGACTGTGAGTGAGTGTGTGCGTGTCGCAGAGATTTCCGGACCTCAGTGGCTTACACGGCAGGCTCTGAAATGATCCACCTCCTCAGAGGTCACAGGTTGTTGTGAGAGTTCCATAAGGACGACATGACTTAGGTGACTGGCACTTAACATGCTGCCTCCCACACAGTGAATTACATTTGAGAGAATATTTAAACTTAATTGTTGCTTAAGCAATAATTCACCTGGAAGAATAAATGTGTAAAAATAGCAAGACAATTGTGGAAAAGAGCACGGATGAAGGCCGGGCCCTCGTGGTAGTAAATGTACTGTAAACCTCTGGGTGATGCTGGCCCAGGACCAGTCTGAACAACAAACCAGACCCGCCGTTCAGAAGCGTGTCCTGTGTGGGAATTTTGTGCGTGTGGTAGAGACAAGCGAAGAGATGGAGCAACCTCAGTGCTTGCAAAACGGGCTGTGCATTTTGAAAAAAAGAAAAAAGCTGAATCTTTACACTCGATTCCTTACACACAAAGACTGCTGCATGGAACAAAAGTCTTGAATAAAAACATAGAAGTTTTATGAAGAAAATAAATGCACCTTAAAAAATGTAACATTGAAATGAGGAACGCCTAATGCTGACATAATGCAGAACCTTATAGGTTCACGATGACATGAAAATAAAGCTTCTCTTCTAGAAAAACAAAGAGTGGCAAGCTGACAAAAAATAATGCTTACGTCTATCAAAGGCTTCGTTTCCTTAATGTGTGGAGGGCTCTTAAAAATCAGAATAGAAACAGCATAATAGAAAAACGGCAAAAGTACACGCACAGTGAATTTACAGAAAAAGAACTACAAATGGCCATCAGATATTAAAAGATGCTCAACCATGGAGAGATAAAGACAGAATTAATCTTCAGTCAGACTGGCAAGGGCAGCACAGTTTGATAGTTCTCGGTGGGGGTTCGAGGTGGGGAAGCAGAGATGCGGCACTGCCCAGTTGCGGGAACCGCCACGCAGAGGCCTCCTTGGCCATCTCTATCAACTTTTCAATCTGCATGTCCTCTGCCTCAGCAATCTGACATTTAGACATTTATCCTACCAGTCTCGAAATGCAAAGATACAAGTACACAGATATTCATCAAACATTCTCTGTATTAGTAAAAGACCAGAAACCAAGCAAGTGTTGAAGAACAGAGTAACTGTTAAGTCATGGTTAATGGTGAAAGCAGCCATTCAAGAGATGAACTGTACTGATAAAGTACAGTATCACATTGTACTGATAAATATGCCCAAGATATACGGTAAGTGAAAAAAAGCACGACCTAGGTGAGTCACGGTCAGCACATAAACCCATTAAACGATGTACAAATATATTCCTGTCACTACATATAAAAAGTCAAGAAAAACACACAAACATAATAAGTAACCACTGCGGGGGTACTTATTTTTCAGTAAACATCTTTCTTTTTTTTTATTTTTTTAATGAATGTTACTATATTTGAAGCTTTGTTCTTTTAGGAAGAACAGTAGCTAGGGCTACCACAGACCCCATGCCACCAAACTGATGAAAGAACATTGGTTTTAATAAGCCCCCAAATGCAGTTCCAATCATCTCCCCAGCCACCAATGAGGCTCCCTCCCTGGTGACTTTCTGCTCAAAACACTTAAGCTTCCCATTTTCGGTGACTCATGGGGAGACTGCCACTCACATGACCACACGTCAGGGACCCACGCTGCCTCCAGACTGTTAGGTAAATGTCTTGCTCCATCCTCACATGTCAGAAGAAGCAAGCTCTCTGGGGAGCAAAGCATTTGGGCTCCTTTCTTTTTATTGACACCCTCTGATTTGCACTTGGCATCTAAACATTTTTCCAAGATAGGAGAACCAAGTGCAAGAGGCAGTCTCAATGAAATGCTCCCTCATTGCCAAACGGGGGTGTCCCCAGGTGTCCCCTGGGGGCTCAGCCGGCTGCTGAGATGTTAAATCATAAGCAAGTGGAGGATAGGAGCACTTTCATGGCAACTCGGATTATAAACAAGATTTTTCTCTATGTGTATGGTGTTTGTTTGTTTTGTGGTGGGAGAGAACACGGGCCCTTCCCACCTCCCAGACGGTTCCTAGCTCCTCACTGACAACTGCTCCGGCTTTCCCTGGGCTTGAGTCCTGAGGTCTGCCAGGCCCCCACGCTACTGCACCAGGCGTGTCTTTCATGCACTTTCCCGCTTTCCCCCTGGTTCCACAGGTCCTCCTCTATAGTTCCTGTCGACTTTATTCTCTCTCCTCATAACGCCACCTCAGCGGAGAACCAGGCTCCTCTCCTGTGAACCACAGACCTGCAACCCTGTGGGGCTGGAGCTCAGCATGAACCATCAACTCTCAGCCCACCCAGATGGACCGATGGACGGAGCACTGGAGAAGCTCCTCCCTTCAGCCCCAGAACCTCAGGCACGGGCCGTGGCGTTATGGGAGAGCGTCTGAGCTGGGGTTCAAGTAACAGCCACCTGTGAGAATGAGCACTGTGTCTGGAGTCAGTCAGGAGACCTAGATTCGGATCTCGACTCTTTCACTAACTGTGCACCCCTGAGCACCGACCTTCACTGAGTCTCAGTGTCACCACCTGTACAATGGAGCTCGTAGTTTTTCTGGGGGGAAGGCCACAGTGAAATGAGGGTGGGCAGAGGCCCCTTGCATAGTGGCTGCTCTACAGAAAGGAGGCCACACAGGGCTGCATATTTGCGTACGCCTGATTTCTAGGTCTGACTCAGCATCCTTCTGCCGTCCCTCCCTCCTTCCCTTCCTTTCCTCCACCTCTAGCCTGTGCCAGAGAATTCCAGTTCAGTCCAAACCTCTACAATACCTCCACAGCACAAAGAAGAGTCTGAATTAAAACTGAGGTTTTAACCTCAACTAACACCCAAATGGACTTCCATTTTGAGGGCCCTGAGACTGTTGAGAGCCCAAAGAATGTTAGGTCAAATTTCTCCTTGCAGAGGGGACTATACCCAGATACCCAGAGAGCAGTGGTGATTTCATTTCGGTGAGTACCAGACAGCTTCTGTCCTCTCCACATCCACGCAAATCATAAACACTGGACACACTACATGCAAATGGTTGAAACTGCAGGCTGTGCTGTTAACAAGCTGGTCACAGGTCCCATTGCCTTAGCTCAAAACAGAACCAGCTTTCACTTCCCCTCTTTTGGGCAAAAACTTCCCTTTTATTTCTCAAGTCTGTGGCTTTTCCCTCCTTAATTATAAAAGAGAATGGACAGAAAGTCCTTATTTCATGACAGAGAGGGGCCCAAACAGGATAAGAACACTGCAAGCCACCAAACTTCTTCTCAGCGTATGGACTGCTGGAGGGAAGTGCAGTGAGCAGATGCTACTTCTGGTCCTCGGTCAGCTGGGCTACGGGTAGATCTAGTGTTTCACTACACCCTGCTTCCCCTTTTCCAAGCTAATCTCTGGTGAAAAAAAAGGTTTCACCACCTGTAAAACCCCTACAGAACTTAATGGTTTCTATGAAAGCACAGCCCATGGAAGGTCTGAAGAATGTAGTATGCAAAAAAAGGGCCTGTGGCCAGGCAGTCCTACCTCCGTCCCTCACAGCAGGGCCACTCCCCAGACTACTGCGAAGCCTTTCCTGAGACTAATGTGGACCCTGGGACCCTGGAAAGAGATGGAAAGAACACAGAAGAAGAGGAGCTGATGCCAAGTCACAGGAGGCTTCAAGTCCTGACACCTCCAAGGACAGAGAATCAGTTTGGGATGCCACCGAGCTTGATTTAAAAAACAAACAAAAAAAACCAACTTTCTGACATGATTATAAAGCCCTCAGGTAGATGGGATCCTAAATCTGTATTGAATCTACAGAGACAAGGCATATATATATGTACCTAACTTTCCAATAAAGCCAGCTGCAATCTTCTGGTTAATACAGAAAAAGATGAGCAAATGTCCAGCAATAGTCTGTCACCTGCCACTTTGCTCTTCCTTGCCCGCTGCTGCTGTTCACATATGAATGACCTCTTTCACAGCTGGTTCTAAAGAATCAAAAAACTTGCAGTAACTATGACAGTAGCCGCAAATGAAGGTTGTGCCTTATGTATCAGCAGACAGACTCCCAATCAGGGGGGAGGTGGAACATAGGAAAGGTGTGAAGACTTAGTGGGCTCTTGCTAGAGAACTCTGCTCCTTTCTCTTCCACAAAGACTTGTCATCTTGCCTCTCGCTGTCACTAATGGCAGTGGTTCCTAAAGTTTTGACTACTTCAGTGTACCCACAAAACAAAACCAGGCAGATCTTCATTTCACCACGACTTCAGTTTGCCCAGTTACACCTCAATGCTGGAGCAGCACTGTGGTGGCTGATATAAGCGCCTCGATCAAATACACGTCAACAGGCCTGAAGGAGACCCACTGACTGAATCACCACCTTTGATGTGGTCTTTTCTGTTTTATGTCTCTGCGCCTAAGGCAAACGTGTTTAACTGCTCTTGGTTTATAACCTTTACATTAAAATAACAAAATGAAAAAGTGCTCCTAGTCATCATCTGTCTCCTTAAAGCTATGAGGATGAATAGGCACCAGGCTGGCCGGCTATCCATCCTCTACAGCCTAGCTCTCTACAGCCAAATGATCCCTCCAGGCAACTGCTGTGTAACCCAGAAAAGGCATCCCCTGCAGTTGGCTGCTAGCAGCAGTGCTAACCAGCCCTGCAGACTCTGAGGGAACCAACAGAGGCAGTGTGAGAAGGCCCCACCTACCTCAGACATTCACAGGTACTTCCCCTCCTGCCCACTTGCCAATCATCTGTCCAAAGTAAGTGACTAATTCCCACTAGGTTCAGTAGGGTTGGCCTACTCAAGCTGCTCTCCCACAGTGCCTGGAAACCATAGAGCTTCAGTGCCCACAAATGGAACATTACTTAAGATCAGTAATAACAGCCCACATCCTGCAAAGAGAAGAAAATTACTACCTTAAGCTTAAAACATGAACCCCGGGAAAGGCTCTCAGCAGTCGAAAAATCTTACACTGTTGAGAAAAAAGACATAGTTTGGACAAGTTCTGGAAAGTTCTAGAAAGTTCTAGAAGCTTTTGCTAACCAGCCAATATTGATTTACTGAGATGCTGAAGGGGGCACTACATCTTCATGTTACAGTTTCTAAAATGGGCATATTGTCTGGATTCTGAAGGACCTTGCAACTACGTTATAAAAGCTTTTAGAAATCCTTGAAGATTTAAATGAGATTAATGTTCCAAGCCTCTCCAGCTTGCAGGAACACAGTAAGTAGATCCCTAATTCAATCACAGGCTAGATTACATCTCCCTGCTGACTAGATACTGGGGCGACGGAGATGTTAGCCGCCACAAAAGCAAGCAACAGAAAGGCCTCGCCTCTCCGGCTTGGTCCTGGTTTCCTCTCCTGGGGCCCCAGGAAGAGACACTCTCCTCACAAGGGTGTTGGGAGATGGAAGGAGATGCTCATTTTGAAAGTGCCTCTCACACTACCTGGCTCAGAGCTAGCAGCCCTTACAATGAACTGTCATTAGGAAAACAGTCTCTCATGCCCTAAGCACAGGCTTTAAGTCTTGCTGTCCCAGGGTAATTCTTTTTATTCTCAAAAGTATCCCAGTGTGGATGAAAAATTATGGCCTCCCAACTTTTAATGACAAACCCTCAAATAATGGTTTATCCTGCTATGTTGACCACCAGAACAAAGCATTTCCAAGCACCTGTGGGTTAAGTGGATGGAGAATGGGAGGCAGATGGCTCCCAGTTGATGTTGGACAATGCTTCAACCCTGGCGTGGCTGAAGCCCTTGGCTGGCACCACCTTTCCAGGTCTTGTGCAAGCCTGGAAGCCATGTGACTTCTGTGTGCGTGTGAGCAGATCTTGCCCAACTCCAGGTCAGCAAGTCAGAAGGTCATGGAGAAGCTCAGCCTCCACTGGGTCTCTTGGCAGAATATCTAGATGTTCTCAGAGTGCTCTATACTGGGTCAGTTTAATACCTTGGTGGTATTTGTCCCATCTTCCTCTCTCCATCTTTGCTGGTAACACTAGGTTATCCTGATGACCAAACTAAATGAGTTATTGGCGTGGTAGAGACAGATAACAAACAGTTACGGCTGCAAGCATGCATTCTTCCTGGCACTCAGCATTCATAAAACAGTAACACTACAAAAGTCTTGTATAGGCTTTTGTTTTACAGGTGAGGGAAACTGGTGCTTGAGAAAAATCAAAGTCTGATTTTTGTCTAGCGTTGGGAAACATGAAGAACAGAAACCCTCAATACTGCTGAGAGTATAGATTGGTAAAACTTCATTTTACCTCCAAGCACTCTATCAGTATCTAGCAAAAAAGGAAGATGCACATACCTTGTGACCCAGCAATGCATTTGATTTTTCTTGTTTTTGCCCTATAGAAACTCTTGCAAATGTCTGAGAGAGATGAAGTTACTTACAGTGAGCAATAGTGAAAAAGCAAAAACAACCTAACTGTCCCTCAGTAGAAAAACAGGGAGCACTTAAAATGAATGAACTAAATCTGTGTGTATCAACATAAATAACTCTCCTAAACACCAGTGGAAAAGAATATATGCAGTATAATTAGTTATATCAGTTTTGATGCCACCACTCATGGACTGATACAAAGTATTCAAAGTACAAAAAAAAAAAAAAGTGCAGGAGAATTATACAGAGAAGAGCAGAAAGGAGCTACAATGTCCCTCAGGAAGCCTGGAAGCAGGTCCAGGAGTTACACGGTAACTGACTTGCAGAGCAAAGTGAAAGGGGAGCTGCGACCATAAAGGAAAGCACTCACCCTATGAACCCCACACAAGCTTGAGACTTGGAGGCCCCTGGTGCTGTGGAAAGGGAGTGGGGAAGTAGCTTGAGGTTAAAAATGGGATTGGTTAAAGTCTAAATATGTAATGGCATTTGATCCCTAGACTCCCTGTCTTATCCAAACTAGGGTGGAATATGAAACATACTGTGGACTGACTAGGGATTCATCTCCTTCTCTTAGGCAGCTTCTGGAGTGTGTGCAGAGAGTGTAAGCCAAGAGATGATGACATGGGACCAGATGTAGACTGATGACTGCGTCCCAATATCCAATGAGTACAGTCCATACCTGCATTGCCTCAAGTCATCCATCAACTTATTGTCAACCCCCACCATCTCTCTACATGTGAGGCTGGACCCTCTGAAAGTGCACTATTTCCATTTTCCTTGACGTTCACAAATTCCCACTTCATACAGTTCAACCTCACGTTTCTAATACCTCCCTTATGACTAACTGTCAAAAACAAGCAGCAGATATTGAGTCCTCACCCCAAAATAGTTCAGTCAACCACCACTCATTTAAGAAAATCACCCAACAGACATTTGAAGGCTCCCTGACATGTGCTCTCCCATCACTTCTCAATCCAGCTGCCAACGATATTGCAAAATACCTCTCACCCCTAAAATGTGGGCAACGTCCCACTCTATCTCCCCAGTCCAGCAGTTGGGGAAAGAAAGAATCAGTCTATGGGAAGGGCCTGGGTGCAAGATGCTAGATCAGCCACACACAGGCAGGTTTTTCCTGGAGCCAAAAGGCTTCCACTCTCACCAACTGACCAGTTAGGAAACAGGGTTTTCCTGATCCAACAACATCAAGGGAGTTACTGCAGCCAGGCTGTATTCAACCTGTATTGCTGCTCCCTGAGCCTGCGAAGCCCCTGGATGAGGGCTCTGCACATTTTCACTGGGCAGTACCCCTGCTCTGGGACAAACGGCCAAAAAAGGTTTGAGCAGAACCCCTCTCTGGGGCACCTTCGATCGTCTCTTTGGGTAAACTACACAAGGTGGGGATGGCCCAGCCCTTTTCTCTATAAAGCTCAAGGGCCCTTGGTCACCATCACCAGTGCCAACAGAAAACAATTCTCCATTAAGGAAAAGAAAGTAATCTTGGCCAAGACAGACATCTTTCCAGACCTTTTGCCTTGTTCTCATTCTGCACTGATTCATCCAGATGAATGCCAACTCAGCTGCATTCACCTTGAGGTGGAGGCACTTGGGGATCAGGTTTTCCGAGGTAACAAAGGCACTAGGCCTCCCTTTGAACCCACCACCTCCCTCTCCTCTGGGTGAGTGTTTCTACCCAGTCAGGCAGAGGTAGAATGGGGCGGAGGCTACTGTCCTTCTCACTGCCTGTGGACTTCCTCGGTGTCCGGGCAAGGGATTTGATTTAGGCCCACTAAGAAGGCAAATACAACTCATTATCTACCTGGACTGCCTGCCGGCCAGCCGCCCAAACTCAGTCTTCCCATACTGCTCCCTAAATGCTCCCTATCCCAGGCCCCCAGGGTCATTAACTGAGAGAAGAGGTGATGCCCCTGGGGACTCGGCCCTGTTTTCCCCACTCCCACACCATCCTGGGCCTGAGGCACTGCATCCTTTCCACAGCAGTCAAGGACTGGGAAGTGGTATCCTCCTCTCCCTACACTCCCAGGGTGCGGGGGACTGGGGCACTCCGCAGCCGATCCTCCTCCCTGCTTAGTTTCCCCTCCCATCTGCGGATTTAACTCTTCCCTACTCTGCGGATTTAACTCTTCCCTACTCCACCCAGTTCCAGG